ACCCCCCGCACCCACCGCACCCACCACACCCACCACACCCACCACACCCGCCGGTATGATACAACGAGCAGGTCGCGTGTGCGCAGGTGCGGGCGCAGGCGCGGGTGCAGGCGCAGGCGGACACAACGAGGAGGAGGAGGGCGAGGAGCACGCGGACTCGGACCAGGACCACCTCGGGTGAGTCCCCACCTCCCCCCCCACACGCCCTCGCCAACAACATTGAAGAGATGTACTGTCGCGAGGAGGCGACATGTGACAATAATCACCGGTGTCAGTGCCTTTATATTAATATGACATTAGTTGGATATGTATTTTGCAATATAACGGGATTATTTATATTCGTGGTCGAGCTGCGTCGTGTTTCATCTGTTCTTATACAAACAAATGGGTTACTATTATTTAAAGCTTGTCATATTATAAAGCAATAGTATCGGCCGGTGTCTGCCGGTGTCTGCCGGTGTCTGCCGGTGTCTGCCGGTGTCTGCGGTGTCGGTCGCTGTCTTCATGTTAACAAACATTCATTGTATTATTTTAATTTTACTCTTGTCATATAAATTTTGTTTGCATTTTTTTGTTTATTCTGTGTATTATTTGATATTTATAAGTTTATTTTTTGTTCTACAGCCTTTTTACTGATTAGTTTATTAATTAAACATTGGAACTTAATTTAGTTAAGAGGTACGTTGAGTGTCCGGTGTCCGGTGTCCGGCCGGCGACAGCCCGTGCGGTGGAAAGGCTCGACCGCAAACTTTTATAGCAATTATATATTTTTATAATAAAATGTGTATTTATAAAGGAGAGTACTTTATTTTCGACTGACATGTCGCCGCCAACAAACTAACCCAAACACATCGCCGACATCTTCTGCCTTCATACACAGACACACTCATCTCCGTGCGTACTCGCTCTCCCTCTTTGGGTGAGTTTTATCACAACAAAAACCTAAATATCACACGAAATCTACGTACCCTTTAAATAAAAACAAGGTCACTGCCAAAATAGAGACGACAATCCGGTCTTACAGTAAATATATTGAAATAAAGCCGTAGAACAGTAAGCAGTGATGGCAGACTCGCGTGCAGGAAACCCGAGTGCATCCTTTGTGCAACTGAAGAAGATATATGGTAACAGAAGGGGTTCAAACTAAACCGGTAAGTTTTAGACAGGGGTTCGCAATTATGAACTTTTGGAATCCCTCAATCTAATTATATCAACGCCTAAACAAAATAAATAGCAATAGTATAATAACACTTTTTGTAACTTACGATAAGTTGAGCGAAAATAGGATGAGATGGCGAGAGTGTCCGCCCGCCGCCGTGTTGCCGGCACCGCGCCCGCAGACACGGGGAGTTACACTAGAAGATGCTTGTTAAATCCCGTTTCTGTTCAATAATGCGTTCACTGTATGTACTGACTGCCACCTACAAATGTAAAAATAAAAACGTACATACATGTAACTATAGTTAAACAATTGCTTATATATTCGCGATAACCAACGTAAAGCTAAATACCGTTTATAGTGTGAATCTTTGAAAAGTTTACATTTATTTGTATTGTGATGATAATAGAGGAGTCGGTATCATACGAGTAGGTAGTTGTGTTGCGAGCACATCGAGCAGGCTTGCGGCCATCTCAGTCATCCGTGTCGGTGTAGAGCCCCGCTGCGGAAGCGGCGCAGGCGACGCAACCGGCAGCGCGCCGCCAAGCGGGCCCGCCGCCTCGCCGCCGCCGCCGCCGCCACTGCTGCGCGCGCGCCCCGCCGCCTGCACCACGAGCTCGACAAGCTCGCTCCTCCCTGCTCGCCCGACTGCTCGCCCCGCGCCCTGCGCTCCGCCGCCCGCCGCGAACGCTTCAGGTGACCCGCTCGCTCCCGCAGCTCGCTCCCCGCAGCTCGGTGACGCGGCGCGAGGTATTGACTGACGGTCGTGTGTTGTGCAGGTCGCCGGACAGCGGACGCAGCAGCGCCGACGAGGGGGAGCTGCGCGTCGCAGAGTCAGTATACTTTGAGTATCCTCTCCAGTAGCTCGCGTAGACGCTCTTGTTTCCTAGTTTGTGCTTTTATGGGAGGGTGAGACGTACCTACCCTCGACTATGTAAATAGTCACAGATCTTCCGATATTAAAGAATATCTAAACCCCTCGCACCCTTTAAGATAAGTCATACCTTGCAGTATCTATAGCATTTTGTAGGAGCGACGCGTCCCCGGCGCGCGACGACTCGCCCTAAGTGAGCGGCGCGGCGCGGCGCGTGGCGTGGCGCAATGGACGGCGCGGCTGAACAAAACGGGCAGTCGGCAGATCGGCGCACCGGCACGTCTAATATTTATTATGAATAAATGTATCTTTGGTTGTAAAGTGCCTTTTGATAATTCCTTTCCCAATATAGACAATCAACAAAATGGAACATCCCATCCCAAAAACTATTTACAAATAACACCCCAAATTGTGAACGATTCCCATAGTTACAAAGTCTAGGAGATGTTAAAATAACAATTTCCCAATCGGTAAGTGACAGGATGTACCGGCAGCAGTGCGGGCGAGGGCGAGGGCCGGGGCGGGGGCGGGGGCGGCGCTCCTGTCGCCCCGCCCCAGGTCCTCCGCTGTCACACTCCGCCCCCACAACTAATGTCAAACTGTGATGTAAATATTGCTTATTGCTTCAAAAAGTTGTTAAAATATATAATATACGTAGTGTGATATTTGCTTGGCGAAGCGCACATACAGAAACTATAACATAAAAGTACGTTTATGTATTTTAGAATAAACTTTAGTTTGAATTCAGGTAACTGTGAAGTAAACTTGAAGTATTAATAAGTGTATGTTATCTGCAGCATTTACCTGCCCTCTGCGGAGATTATACATCTTACACAATAAATATAACGACTATGTCACAGATAATAAATATAGAATTTGTTCCTTAAGCGCTCCTTGATCAATAGACGGACTTAGAGATGGATAGGATATTGTGAGGAGTTCAATATAGCAGCTCTAAGTAGCGTTAAAGTGTTAAATTCTTGAAAGTTTAACACAAGTTAAAGTTAATCGTTGATAGTTAATTGTATGAAACTCTTACTGGTTTTGGGCAAAGAGAAATGGATGAAACAAAGAGAAAGAAGATTTAAACATACATTTATTTATTTCCTTATTCTGTCTCGTCAATCTTATACGATTAGTTAGTAAACAAATTGCTGCCCTAAATCTATAGAATTTTTTTATCGCGCATTCGTTGAGACGCCTCATTTAGTCGTTTGTTTGTATTTTAAAAAATGTACAATTATTTACCATAAATTATTTTGAAAGACATAAATAATAAATCAATATTGTGAATCTGAATCTCATCATCAGTAAAGATTTCTTTAAAACAATTTTAAAGAAATGTTCATTGAATGCACATGATCCGTCTTTCATATTTTTAAAATTATTTTCCTGTTTCGTTTTTTATCTATGCAATAACAATAAAATCCTTTTTGATCGCTCTTTCAAATAAACCATAAATATTTGAAACTAAACATTTTTGTCGCCAACAGGCACAGATTTAATTGTATTTTATGTACTACGTAGTAGTGTTATGCAGACTTTATTATTTTGTTTGCAATTAGACCCTCACTCTTGCCATTTATTGATTTTGTGCTGTTGCTTACGTCTTTGAACAACTCGCAAACATGAATGTTCGTTCACCAAAGACTCGCCTGCAGCCACCGAATGTAGGCGAACATACGAGCGTTGCGTGCTGCGTTATTTAAACAAACAAAATGACAATACGTCACTTAGTGTCTAATGTTAATTATTAAAGGACAAAATTAACGAAAGTTGAATTTAAGGGAAAATTGGAAAATCAATCTCTTAGTTATGTTGGGAAAGATTTGAGTAATGTAACATCTTATTAAGAAAGTAAGAAGTAGATGTAGATTAATTTAATTTTGGTTTTCAAATTTAAAACATATATTTTTAATTAATTGCATTATTAACTTTATAGTATTTATGTTCATCTGATATTTGTAGAACTTCTGCGAAAATTAAACAATTAGGTAAATTCGTACGTCACTTCCAAAACCCTCCACATTAGATCCGAAGCGACGTTGCGTCGTCCTGTGAACATGATGCCTGAAGCCTGTAGCCTGACGCCTGGCGCTTACTGCTCCACGTCACCGGACAGGTGCTCACATTAATATCAATCTGAGTGAAGACACCTCTAGGAAGAGGTCTTACTGCAAGGCTTCTTGGCTGTTAAACCTCACAGAAGATCTTACTTATTCCCTAAGAAAACTCCAAATTGTCATGAACAGGGAACGCAGGAAAAAACAATTTTAAATTAACTAATTTTTTATTGTCACATAAAAAATACTTAATCTAACCGATGCCTGAAAACAAGCCGTCGGAGAACAAGTAGATCACAAGTTATGGCTTCCGGTCCTCTGTACGGAGGTGCACTTCCTCGTGCTCAGCACACGTCGGCGACCTCCGCGGCCTCGACATGTGCCCGTCTACCGGTCGACACTTAGCCTAGTTCAATAAATAAATAAATAACGTCCAACCCGTGTTGGAGTACGTACTCGGCTTCACTCACACGCAATAAGTTATACAACGATATCGCGGGCAACTATAGGAACTATGGCGGGTGCGCTGGGCGCGGTTGCGGCGGTGTCACGGCCCCGTGGATGCGCTGGGGGCCTTCTGGATCTGCTTCACCATGCACGCGCAGCCCACGGCCACGTGCATGGTACTTGTCGTGGCGTTGGCCGGGAAATGCACCAGCACGACGTCTTCAATTTGCACGCAATCCATCCGGTGGGCGTGGTGGTTGTGCTCGCAGCACTCATTCTTAGGGATGTCCTGCTGCTTGCACCATTCTTTGGGGTCGGACTTGCACTTTATCAGTTTGATGCGGCGCGGCACTCGCTCCGGGTTGTCGTCCACCTCCACCTCGATGGGGCACACGGTGTGGTTTAGTGCTGCTTCCAACGGGACCGGTTGCGGCTTGGAGCGCACCGCCGCCAGCGTCGCCGCGGCCATCAGGAGGAATGCTGTCTGCGCTGGGCTCATGGTGGCGCGTGCGGTCTCGATAAGATTAGCTGCCGAATAGTAAGGTGTCGGCACGCGCTGGGATATTTAAGTGGTGGCGCTTGGGGCCGCCGCCCGCGCCCCGACGCCCCCGCTAGCCTGCCGCGCGCCGCCGGCACGCGCCCGTCGTCCGTTCGCAGAGCGCGCCCGTCGCGCGCCGCGCTCTCACGTGCCGTGACCGTGTCAACTTCGCGGCCTTGTTCTTGGTCGTGTTCGTTTAATGGAGGGTTGAAGCTTGCGCCGCTGACATGCCCATTGGCCGGCGGGCGGCGGAGCGCGCTCGGGGCGTCGCGCCGGTCCGCGAATGGCGCCGGCCGGCACGCCAAATAAACTAGGCGATAAGAAAACTACAAGTGGCCAGTGTTTGCAAGATTTTTTAAAGTTTTCGTGAGTTTGTCGTGAACGTTTACTTACGCGATGTTAAAGTGTTGCCGATGAAATAGCGCGCACTGTTGTGGTGGATATGTTTACTTTAAAGAACTAACTAAAAGGTTGATTTTTTTTTTATTTCCTATTAACTAAAAAGAGGAGTAAGGACAATTAAATTTCGGACACTGATTTAAAAATGATTCAATGTAAACGTTCCCATTATTCATTTAATATGTGTTTAGTAGTTTGTGGGAGGGAGTTTTGAATGACGGTGGTGACCTGAAATTAATAAAATTACATATGTCCATATGAAAAGGTCGAGTGTCGCTATTGCATATGATGCCGATGCAACTGATTCAGACAACGACTTGACTGTAAATATTACTACAACTATAATAATATTCCAAGTGTTTGTGTATTTGTTAATAACTGACCTTTTATCATAACGCATGTGCTTAGTGATAAAAGTCAATAAACGAAATAATAATAGAGTCGTAATATATATGTTATCTACATACATAAATAGTTAATATTTAATTAGGATTGAGATCGGGTTTGTGATGTAGCCAGTGCGGCCAATGTGGAACAGGCTTTTTGTAACCACTTTGACCTTCACTATGACATCACGATACGAGATTTTGTGCGGTAATTCGTTACCTTCAATTAATTCATACGCAAATGTTGTAGGCAGAGCACTACTTGTCACATTACAACTAAAATTATAAGTGTTATATAGTCCCGGACATATGCAACTAAGATTTGAACAAATGTTAACGAAAGAAATATTAAATGTAAAAAAAAACAACTATCAAGAAGTCTAGCGACAAACTAAGCAATTTTTAATAAAGGCAAGTCGGGTAAAATCATCATAATATTATAAAGAACTAAACAAGAATCGATAGTGTTCCAGACAACCTGTATACAGATGGATATATTTTATGAATACATAAATGTTGCCTCAAAATAGGTTCATTCGTTTCGGTGATTACTCGGAATAAGCGCGGAGTTGCGGACACACAGACACTCTTTCTTATAAGTCTCTAAAGCAAATACATCCATTTCTCAGAATATGACTTTTTCGATATCACAAACTCTCCAATTTTTTTTATTGTTTAAATTTTTTAGTACAGCTGTAACTTATATGAGACGTTAACGTGGTCCGTGGATCGACACGCCTCGTCCGCGCCAACGATATCGCTAGGATATTGCCTACAACCAGCAATAACCCAGCGATGCAAAAAACTAAAGCTTAAATGATCGTAAACTCCGAACTCCGTTTTAAGGAAATTATATTATAATTGTTTACAATAGAAGGATATAATTAACACTAAGTCTAATTATGTTTGGGATGATGGCGTCACGTCGCCTCACCCGCTCTCCGCTCTCCGCTCGCCGCTCGCCGCTTGCCGCTCGATATAACATCGTCATGTTGCAAGCCTGAAGGAATATCTAACTGTTGTCACTATTTATAAATCTTTGTAATTTCCTAACATTGTACATAGTGTGCAATAAATGCATGCATTTCTATCCTTATACCTTTGTTAAACTTATAATATTTATATGTGAGTAGTATGATTTACTTTTGAAGCTTATA